AGCAATTTTAAAGAAATTACTTAGAATATGTGAGAAAGAAAATGTAATTACTAGTTATAATAATACTTGATTAGAATGTTATTGAAACTAGATAATAATTATTATGTAAATAAAATGTTTTTCTTTATGCACACGCATTGTGATTACATTACATTGAACGTAATGATTTTGATCTTTAAATATATATTTTTTATTAACTCGACTAATTAAAGCATTTTTTATTATTATAGTCAGCAAAAAAACATGATACTAATCAACTTAATTATCATTTTAGTCCAACTTAATTATAATTAGCATCATTTTATTTAATATACTTAATTATATATGCCATTATTGCAAATATCTAAGCAAATCCTCTAATGATGTTTTTTATGCATACGATATTGAGTTACAGACTCAGCAGATAATAAATAAATATATTACGGATACAGGAATAAATTTATTAATTACAGAAAATAAATTATCTTAAATGAATTAATTACAGTAAAATACAACTATTAAACAATATTAAGCCTAATATTAAAAATATCTAATACAATAACTTGAAGAAAATAAATTTAATAACATTCAAATAGTTTAATTAAGACTTGTAGATCTTGTGAGTCTTCTTATGGTAAAAAAAATTCTTTAAATATCCGTTAAGAAATTTTTATTCGAGTCCCATATCTGGAAAATAATAATTAAGAGCAGTATCAAAAAAGAATATATAATATGAAAATAATTGTAATGATAAAATGCTTAGGATAGAAAAATATTAAAATAATTTAGAATAAAAATTAGAAAAAGTATTGAAAAGGGGAAAAAAATTGTAACTGTTGGAAAAAAAAAGTCAATTATTATCAGTAGGCAATTCATTATCAAATGTTTGATATCGAAATTGGCAAACTCAGAAGTATCGTAGAAACTTTGAGCTTTTAAAAGTTTAACAATAGTATTATGAAATTGACGATCATTCAGTTTCCTAATATATAGTGGGAGTAGATTAAAAACCTGTACTCCTCTTCCGTCTATGGTATTAAAAGTTGTTTCAAGTTTAAAAGTTTTATTATTATTATTATTGTTATTATTATTATTAGTTTATATATTAAGGCGGGTCGATTTAAGGCTCACTTCGGAACATATGATTTTTGGATACTAGGGATCAAAATAAGATACTTTAGTGAAGAAACCATACATCTAAAATGAATGTGATTGATGTCCCGTGCATTGACCCAAAAATAAGGGTCAAATTTTGACAAATGTCTCAGGGGGGTTTCAGGGGTTGAACCAGGGGCATAGGTAAATCAGCTTTCCAAGGGATCGATCTTACATTTGAAAGCAATTAGGGCACTCTAAATGGATCAAAAGGGAATCTTTCAAATTACAACCCTTATTTTGCGATCAATCCACGGGATATCAGAATTCTTTTTAGAGGTGTGATTTCTTCAGAAAAGTTTCATATTCGGATCTCTAGTATCCGAAAATTATATGTGCCTAAGCAACTATTTTTGACTCATACAAATCGACCCGCTCTAATATATATCTAATACTTATATTGATATTTTGCCTAAAAAATGAGTCTCACTAGAAGCGCAATTTTAGTTACTGCGACTATTAAAGTTATCAGCAACTTCAGTTATGTGCAAATATAACATTTTGTTTCAGTTATCAGCTTATATTATTAAAAACTCATACATGTGATATTTAATTCATTACATACTTTTCAAGTTAGTTCTTAGACCTTTTGTCGATTAAATGGCAATGATTTTAATTTCAGTTTATCATATTATTAAAAACTCATACATATGATATGTTATTCATACACATACTTTTCTAGTTAGTTCTTCGACCTTTTGTCGATCAAATGGCAATGATTTTAATTTCTTTATGGACGTGTTAATACCGTTATAATAATTGCTTATATGAATATTGTAATATAACTGACTCGCCCGGCTACTGGAAAATATGCTATGACATTGACCATTTCATATCGAACCAGTTATACATGCTTTGTCACAGTTTTTTTAATTATAATATTGGGTTTTTTATAAAAAATATAGGATAAAATTAAACTGTATAATGGCAAATATATATTTTGTGCAAAATTGCTAATATAAGAAAACAGTATATAGTTTATTCTTTTTTATGGTAAAAGGAGAGTCAAGTCAATACAAGGATTCAAAATTGATCTCGTTTGGTTTTGTTTAAGTCATGCTTTATTATATTGACTAGATGTAAATAATTTGGTAAATGAGTCTTCACTTGCTTCCAAAAACTTTTTAAATAAGAATTTCAAACACAAACAAATCTGACCTCTCATGTTCTTCTACTTTTCTAATTTATAATTCATAAATTTATTAAGACATTTTGAATAGATAATTTGCATTAATAAATCATGAGCTTTATTTCTTTATTTATGTATTCACTTCCCATTTCAACCAATAAAAAGCAGATTTTTTCATAATCAAAAATTAAATCACTTTTGGATTCTTAAAATTTTTTACGGATATTTTATTTTAATCATTGACGTAAATTAAATTTTAATCGTTACCTTAATATATATTAGCCGTTTCATTCGCCGTACTTAATTAACTAATCAACATTATTTGGAGAAAAAAAATATGTGTCCAATTGAAAATAAACCAATCTGTGAAATGGCAACGGAAAATCTCTCACACTATTCTTCTCTAAATCGAACTTAACTTAACTTATAGACCTGCCTTAGGTCAATTCTACCCATTATTTCATTCATTTTATATGAAGAACAAAAATCAAAAACATGATGCACAAATTTCTGAAGATAAAAAGTATTGTTTTTAGACATAATCTATTAAGATTAATTTGCTTGCTTCTAATAAAAAACATTGTATAATAAATGAGTGCAACTAATCTAATAAAATTTGCGCCAAAATTTGCATCAAAATTTTCTATTCTTTTGATCTTTTAATATAATATTTTATGTGAACCACTGCTCCCAAATAAATAATTTTTAATTTAATTTGCATAGTATTATGATTTATTTAACGTAAATTTTCTGACGATAAATGAGGGATTCCCCTCATTGTGATCTTTAATTAAGCGAAAAAAATATTTTTTTTGTAAATTCTAGAATTTTTGAAGATTTGCGCGTCTTAATAATATTAGGTTGTCAAATATCTCCCTTCCGCTTTTTTGCTCTTGGTTTATAATACAAAAAGGCGGAAGGGAGATATTTGATAACCTAATATATAAAATATATCTATATATATAGTTATTTATTAATTTATTATCATCATTAGTATGTAGATAAACAATTCAAGCCGTGAAAGTGACAATAAAATAGTTTATCTAGTCAAAGATCTATTGTCATCGCCTGGTACGTGCGTTAGGTGAAAGTAATAGAAATGCCATTCTAACAAAAAATATATATATATATATATATATATATATATACTAGCTGACCCGGCAAACAAAGTTTTGCCTTAAATAATATTTATAGTGTAATGGTTTCAATTGTGGTGCATAAGTGCAAGGAGCAACTTACAAATAATAAATGAATAGGTTACCCACTGCAAAGCATGCGACATATGAATATTCTTTTATAGTCTTTGCAAGTGCCAACCTGATATGAAACTCATTATATTTAAATTGAATTGGCACATTTAAAGATTCAAGATTTTGATATATTATTACCACACATTTCATTAGTTCTAGAATTTTTGAATTGCAAAGCAAAGTATAATATTAATAAAGTTGTTTTGTGGTATGCCCAGCGAATTGACTCGGATGTAATAGTTGATTTTTGTGTCCTAAAGGATCAATATAAATTTAACTTACCTCCATCTATTTTTAAATTTTAAATTTCCATTGACTGTATCGATTTCTATGAATCAGATGCACCACGCCTAGAATATTATTTTAAGTTCATCTTAACGTTCTCATTTGCGTCATGAATGTGATGAAATTATTTACATATCTATTACAATATATTGCAAACATTCGGATTTATGCTAATGCATTGCTCATCCGACGTTCTTGCCATAAATGTCTCTTCAATAGACGCCAACTATTAAATTTGAAAATCAATTAGTATTGTTTGTTTTGTGCACAACCATTTTGCAATATGACGACAATCTGTGACAAACCCATTCGAATTTAATAGTTGCAGAACTAGTCGTAATATAAATCATAAAGAAATAAATTTTACAAGTCGATTCCTATTGAGAGGAAGTGCTGATTAGTTTTTGGCAAAAGCAGGTCCAGCCTTTACGGAGATACGGAGCAAAGTGTGCAGAAGTTAGAAATCTAGTTAATTTATTTGGATGAACACATTATGTAGATTTTTGCTCGAAAGGGCAACCCAGAAGTCAACTTTTCTTAATTATAGACAATGTGTATTAGAAATGTATATCAGATAGTGTTTCAGTAATGCCTACGAAAAACAATTTTCACTTTAGAAAATTTGATATCATATTGCTTGTTATCGAGCTGACGGAGGTTGGGATCGATACCGGGGCTAGTTTGTACTAGTACTGATACCACATTATTAACTTTTTACTTCAAAATTCGTTATTTATTTATTGTTGATTCCGATAGTCTACCAAAAAGTTCTCAATCTACATCAATTTTTACGATGTGAAATAAACTCTCATATCACATCTGGTGTTATGGACACAAAACAAACCTACTTCAATTAACATTATCAGATAATATATAATATATAATATCAATATCAATATGTCATTTTATAGACTAATTACATCCAAAAAAGGCGCTGTTACATCAAAAGAATTACATGGGAACCAAGATTAACCATACATTAATTTCAACATGTTACATAAGAGTCATTTGGAAATTAGAGTTCATACTGACGACATAAAAATTAAAACACAAGAGTTTTTATGTAGATTTTTTAACTAAGATTGTTTATCATAATGAGAATTGGATGGTGTTCTGGTTGCTTTGCTTTGTTTAGTGAACTTAAGAGCTTTTTTCTAAGCTGCGCACATGATCCGAAGAAATTTATTAGATTTTTGGTCTTAATGGCTTGTACTATTGGTGTCATTGTTCAGGTAAAGGTTGAACAAATAATTTTAATTAATAAACATTTTTAATAGTTGTTAATAATTTTGCAAAAAGATTAGAATAAACATTTGTTTCATATTCGATTTTTTTTATAAAATGCTGCTTCAATTTTAGTCTCCATTCAGTATTTTTTTTGCAATTTGAGGTCTTTATTATTATAATCGTTGTTAGTAAATAGTAATTATATAAAATGTTATTGTAAGTGCTAAGAAATATAAAAACGTAATTTTTCATCATATTGGTATCCAAGAATTAAGTAAAACAGCATAATACGTAATTTATTATTGAGCTATGAAATATAAAAGTTCCTTATGAGCTAAGAAATATAAAAGCTCAATTTTTTCATTTTCTTGATACCATAAAACGTGAGCGAAACAAAATAGTGTATATATTTTTTTAAATTTTCGAAAATTGTAAATCTATTGTGATATATAACATTTATAATAATCTATAAATATTTCTATGAGTTATTCAAATTTATTCAAATTATCAAAAGTAACCTATATAAAGTAGACACTCCAGTGGGTAATTAGTATTTAATAAAAATGGTATGATTTTTAATAAGGAAGTAATATTAAAGCTCAATTTTTCATTCTTTTCATACCATAAAAAGTGAGCAAAACAAAATAGTGTATATATTTTTTTAATTTTTCGAAAGTTTTAAATCTATTATAATATATAACATTTATAACAATCTATAAGTATTTCTATGAGTTATACAAATATTTTCAAATTATCGAAAGTAACATATATAAAATAGACACTCCAGTGGGTAATTAGTATTTTATAAAATGGTTTGGTTTTTAATATCAAAATTCTTTATTTTGTTATTTAATATTATTTTTAACATAGTTAGTAGCGTTCTTAACATATGATTTAGCAGTCATTGACCATCAAAATTATTGTAAAATATTTTTTATCCTATGGAATAGAATAATACCTATGTGATAATTTGCAATGTAGGAGATCTCAAATATTTATCTTGAACATCATAAGTAAGGTGTGCTGTATTTTGTCAATAAATTTGTAAGATTTCTCTAAATAAATAAAATACGAATTGAATTGTAACAGTCAGATTTTTGAACACTTTATTTTGTAAAACAGAGACCTAACTGTAATTCTAATATGCTGAACATTTATAGCATTAATCTTGAAAAAAAATGTTTTTCAAAATTTGTATTAAATTATCCTTGTTAACTTCATCATTAGCAAATGACAGTAATTTTTCATTAGAAAATTCATTAATAAAAAAATTAAAATTGAAAAAATAATAAATTTTTTATTCCAAACTAACGCAACTTTGAAATTAAAACAACGTACAGTAATTTTGCAAAAAAACGCAAAATGGAATTCCATATATATGGTTGAGGAGGGCAAAATGGTCTAATAGCACATTTCACTTAACTAACAACTATCGAAATATTTTTAGAAAAAATCCAGTTATTTAATCTCTTTTAAATATGATTTTTTTCACTATTTTGTGAACATTTGTTTTCTTTATACTCTATAAACAGGGTAAAACTGTACAGCCAGGAGGAAAAAAGATCCTCTGTCTAATTTTTAATTTAAAAAAAGTTTAATGAAATAATAGATACACTATTTGATCAATGTAATGCAGTTTATTGCAGTTAAAAAACAAAATTGAGAATTTTAATCTAAATATCATTAGAAAATATTTACCAGCTTCTTCTACTATCATAAATCTGACTTTTGTTTAATTTTTCATAATCAGACTTATCGTCGTTGAAATACAATTATTTGAAATAAGTTAGATGCATCTTCTTCATAAGTCATGAGCACATTTTTTACAAAAATCACTCCGTACAACTTTCATATAAAACTTTGTTATGGGAGTTGGAATAACTCTTAATTTAATACATTTCTTGTTAAATTTCTTTGGTACCTTATTTTAGTTTTCTATTAATTATTTTCTTATTGATTACATTACATGCCAGAATAATGGTTCAGGTGGTTCTTTTTACCTCAACTATTCTAGAGTTTATATAAAAAACTGTTTGAAATTACTTAAATATAGCATACATTTAAAACGATTAAATAACATTTAAAATTATGTTCAGGCATCGAAAACTAAAGAACAGTACTCAAAACCAATAAAACAAATATTGAAATAAATAATAAATACTTTCATTAATTGACAATGTGGCCGTTTATCTTGTGATGTCGTTTAATTTCAGGGAATGACTGCTTATAAATCTGTTGCACTCTGCTTTAGAATAGCATCATTATAAAATACCCTGTGTTTGAGATAATCAAGGTGGACCATTTTACCTGCGGATTTTGATTATAAATAATATTAATATTAATAAAACTTTTACCATTCCAGATATCGAAATGCATAACGAAGCTGATTCGGCCACCAATAGTCAGTCACAGTTACTTCGATCGTAACGATAGTCTCTACTATCCGGCTGTCACTTTATGTCGGGATCCTCCATACAAAATGGATGTGATGGAGGTAATAAATGCACAATATTATGTTATATGGACATCGATAATCTATAGTCGATAGTGAGATAGACAGTGTCTATAAATAATCTATTTATTGATCGACCACTAGTGGTCTCTAAATGTTCGCCAAAGAGTTGATCACCAATTTGCCATCTAATGTTTCATATGAAACATAATCAACTAATGTAAGAGAATAGCTAATATATTTAACTTACCGTAGGGTAAGTTATTGTAATCGTCCAAAAATCGAAAATGAAAGTTTATGCATATCTTCAAATTTTGAAGGTTTTTTGAACATTTGGCATATCTCAGAAAAAATAGGTGTACGTGTGTATGTGTGTATGTTTCAGTATTTTTGTCTGGATACAATTTTTCGTCGACGTTTTGCGCGAGTACCGCTCAACTGATTTGAATGATTCAAAAAACAATCGATTCTTATTGATAGGGATTTTTTTTTTGAGTTAAGAAAATTATATTCGTTATATTTCTTCTAAGTTTGGAAGCCGTTGGTTCGGCTTGGAATTCATCAGTCCGCGAGTCAACTTGTTTAATATTTTAGCATTGGCAATTACTGTTGTCAATCTTATAGAATTACTCTGAATAGCTTTTGACCTTTTGTCTAAAAATCAGTAAATTATACCGTGTTCGCAACAGCTGATGTCACGAATTATTAATGAGAGCAGAAATTCAGGGTAAATGATTAGTGGGTAGATCAATAAATAGAGGGCAAAAGGATAAAATGCACCTGAGCATTTGGCATTAAGCTTTAAAACTAGTGGTGCATGGCATCGTGCCTTAAGGCAAATAGCTGAAACTTAAAAAAAATTAATTTTTTTTTTTGATAATTCTGAAACTATTTGAGAATTTTTAAATTTTTTGAGAATTTAGAATTTTTTTGAGAATTTTAATTGGTTGATTGTTTGGTTCTAAATCGATTAATCCATCGTCTTAAATTCGTGGACGAAAAATTGTACCCGCACATACACACACACCCCTACAACCATCCATTTTTTCTCAGCTATGCCAAAATGTTTAGAAACTTTGGAAACATAAAATTATACAAAAAAAATCATTTTGGTTAATTTTTTGAATATTGTGACCTACCTTGAAGGAAGTTAGTAAATGTAGGTCTGGAAAATAGATAAATTGAATTTTTTTTCTTAAATCTATTTATGGTTGATGGTTGATCTACAGTTATAATACTAAATATTCTGATAATTGCCCTAAAAGTAAAATTTCAATGACGATAGTAAACTAAAAAATGACATAGTTATTATCATCATTGTAAATGAGAACAACACCTAAAAATGTTGAAAAAAATATTTAAATAAAAAAGTGTTTTTTTCATAATTCAAAATTTAAAATTTGAATATTACATAAGGCGCAGTAATTCTTTGATAACGCATTTTTAACGAATAGTATTTATAAACTTATTTTAATATTATCAATGAGAAATAATATTTTAATATATAGGAGTAATTGAATTTATAAAGAGCAAGAAATTTAAAAATGATCATTAGTATCCTTAAAAATTACAGAGAACAATATATTATCTTTTTATGAATTAACAATTTATAATATCTACATAATTATAAACAATTTTTGTCAAGAAAATGAAACAATATTTATTATTATTGACTATATTTTACTTACGAGTAAAATTAATAAACTTACTGCTTTTATTTTTTTCTGTACGTTTTTTTATCAACAAAATGAATGTATATTTCAAAATTAGAATAACATAATTATTTAAGTTGAATTTTCGGTGGATCAATCACTTTTTTAAATGTGATGGGTGTAAGTGAGATTTAACCTTAGGGCAAGTTGCAAAAACTTCTCTTTATATAAATAAACGATATGTAATTTGCTAAAGTAATTTAGCAACCGTTCAAATTGTCACGATATGATAATAAATTATAGGAACCATTGTACTATGTTGTGATTAATTTTGTTTATTAAACCACTTTTCGGGGGCCTATAATTTTATATATTGCTCTTTTAATAGATCATTATGAACAAAGTTTCATCAAAATCTTCAAAAAAAAATTGTATATATTTGATATGTTGGCCCTATTCTGAAATGCAAATTTCACATGACGAACAATGTTAATTCATCAAGATTTTTCTAGATTAATTAGTGAGGCTTGCCGATAATATATATATATATATATATATATATATATATATATATATATATATATATATATATAACGTGGTTTGAGATGTTTATTTTATTCTATTTTCAAATATAAAGTATTATTTATTACCATTATACCACGTGCCTCTTTGTGTTGTAAATATTTTTCTATTTTATTCCAAGTGATCAGAATGTCTCTCGTCTTCACATTAAAGTCTTTTTACTCAGATATCGCAATCAACAATATATATTTATTGCACGATGCAAATTTGCGAAATACGCACAGAATCAACCAAACACACAGCTTGATTTTAATTCAATCATTTAAATTCAATATCCACTTTATAACAACGCTTGTGATGTGTTTATTACATTGCAATAGCATTTAATGATGTGAATACCAACACGGTGATATAAATATTAATTAAAAATTTGATTAATAAAAATTAAATTATTATCCTTAATTCAAGCAAATTTATTACAAATGCGCAATTTCTGGTAATTACCAGATTCAAATTATGCAACTCATATCGTATGTTTATATTTTAAAGTCTAACTGATCGGCCTGGTTATTGATTTATCTCCAGTTTATATTTTTATTATTAATAACTATATGAACTCGAATCCAGATAATAACTCGATACATTTCCATTGTTTATATATAGAAATTGTTAACGAATAACAAGCGTGCGTTAAATAAAATATTGTTATTATTAGCATACCATCAGATAATAAATTGATATACATATTTATCCTAAAAATTGACATATGAGTATATTTATTTTTATGAATATAATTCAGAGGATATTTTGAGGGAAAAAATTTACTGTATGTTTAAAATTTATTTAATTTCGGATTTGTTGTTACGCTATAAGAATAAGTCCAAAAATCAAGGAGAATTTTAAGGATACAAATATATTTTATATTTGGTTTTCATAGTCGATTAATGTAATTAACATCCATTTAATGTTTGTTGGAATTAAATTGAAATCTTTTTTAGGTTTTTCTAATATTTCAAACTGGACAATTTTATTTTCAACAGGTTTGCACAATTTTCATTCGGTGACCAACATACTTTTTTACTCTAAAATATTTTAACCTTTTGCACTCCAGGATTCCAAAATTTTCATAGTGAAGTAGCGTCAATAAGACAGCAATAGAGTGCAAAGAAAAAATGTCTAAAACGATAATTATATATTTTTCTCTCTATCAGAAATATGGATTGGGACCTACGGCAACCATGACATCAGAATGGAAAAACTTTCCATTCGATTCTGCAAATTTGAGTACATTTTGGACGGAAGCTACATATGATGTTTCTGATTATTTTACTCCTACAATTGGTGGATTTAATGGTTCTGTTGATAGTAAGTATGATCTCATGTTTGTAGTAATTCCACACTAGAAAGAATTACCATTGGGCAATCTTTCTAAATAAACTATATATTATAACATACTAATTACTAAATGTCTTTACTAAGACAGATTGTATTTGAATGGTAAATAAAAAAAATGTTTGTAGTAATCAACATTTTAGATGACTATGGTAATCTTCCTATATACAATTCTGGATATACGGTTTTCTGGTCTTTACCTTCATCTGGTTTTTTACCCTTACTTTTACCTAGTTTTTTTATCTTTATCTGGTCCATTACCTTTTCCTGGATCTTTACTTGTTCGTTTCCCTTATCCAGGTCCTTTACCTTTACCTGGTCCTTTACCTTTACCTGGTCTTTTACCTTTTTCTGGTTCTTTACCTGGTCCTTCATCTATACCAGTTCGTCCACCTGGTACTTTACCTTTACCTGGACTTCTATCTTTAAATGGTTAAATCGGGCATCATTTTTGTCAGTACCCCCCGGCGCCAAAATTCTATATCCGAACTTATTTATAAATTTTTTATCATTTTATTTCCAGATATGGAATTCAAATCAGGTATGTTTCTCCAGAACGGCCAATGTCATACAATTATTCCCAAGATGCCAGTTCTAGAAACTGGTCGTTTCTCAGGATACTCGTTTATTTTAAAACATGATATGAGACATCTGTCAGAAACTCCAAGCAGATTGCCACCAGGTTGGCATGTTCATATACATGAACCGAGTGATCCATTTTCAGGCAAGTTAATAAAAAAATTATATTTAGGATCCAATTTGAGCAACTATGTATATTGTGAAAATCGAACTATCACAAAAAATACCATATATCAAACAAAGACTATCTGACTATGTTCAGTAAAATTCCCAGCTAATCATCGTAGAAATATGTTTTTTCCCCTATTTTTCGAAAATTTGCCACCTGATCCATTTCAACCCATAGGCGGATAAAATAGGACAGACAGGTGGCAAAATAAGCAAAATTTCACGAAATAATAGATAAAATAATCAATAGAAAAAATGTGTTTTATTATTATTTTTTTAAATTATAACGACCAAATCTCATTTTCTGAATACCATGACGCCTAAGAATGTGGCAAAGACACAATCAGCTATGTAAACGCTCAACATTTATAATGGAATAAGTTCTTTGCATATTTTATTAGATTTTGCTATTATTAGAATTATGATCTATTTATAATTGAGCAATCAATATTGCATGTAGAATTCACGCCTGTCTGAACAAAGTCCTAATAATTAGAACAAAAATTATTGCAATTTTTGCAATACCTATTATCATCTGAATAATTGTAATATATTTATAAAAATATCTATAATAATGGAAAAAATATAATTACATATAGGAAAAATTGCTATATTTATTTTTAGAATTATGACTTATCAATGTACAACAAATTCGAAAACAAAGTTCTAATAATTAGAACAAAAATTAATGCATTCTCTCTGCAATGCCAGTTATGATCTGAATAATAATATAATATAAATTAAAAAATCTATAACTAAATGGAAAAAATATAATTGCATATAGGTATAATTGCTATATTTAATTTTAGAATCATGACTTATCAATGTACTCTAAATTTGGAAACAAATTGAATTTTTAGTGAATCTAGAATGTTGAGATGTATAAACGACAGTTTGCTCTTCCATAATACATTTAAATTTTATGAATGTTTAGTATATATAATAATATGAATTAATAGTAAGATCAAAAATAAAAAATAATTTATAGGTATGCTTTTGTATAAATTTTATTCTATTATTAATAATCCAGCCAGCCATACTATCATATTTACCCAACATCTCTCAAATGTTTTTTATACATTTAACTCCCACAATCAGTTTTAAGTTGAAAATTCAATTTATGTTATATAAGTATCATAATCACAATTGTGATTCAAATACAGCTTTTTAAAATAATTTTTTCACTATTTTTTTTTTGCAGAAAACCTATTTCTAACATGCGGCCGAATTGAAAACTTGTATGTAGAGTCTATGGAAAATATTCAAGTCAAAATCACAGCCCGAGAGTTCAAAAGAATTTCTTCTGACAAACACAAATGCATTAGTGACCCCAAATACAGCTCCATAGAGGTACTTTTAGAAATAAAATTTTATTAAAACCATATGTTTCACATTCTATGCTGGATTAAGATCATTGCTTAAAAAATATTCATAGGTTTTTATACGTAGATATTTTTTGTTTAATGTACATCAAAGTATCTATTAAATTTTTTTATTTTTCTGAAGTATTTCAACATTTTTACTCGGTTTTGGGGGGTTTCATCAGGCGTTAATAAAACATAAAATTATTATCATTCAATTATTTACACATAAAATGTAACTTTACTCGTATGTTATTATACCACATCACCAAGATGCACTTATGATAACAGTTTTTTATGCGTTTCTTATGTTAGGTTTACTATCTAAAACGCCTGACTGCACAGCAACCACATAGAATTTTGACAGTTTTTAGTACCACTTTATATGAAAAATGCTACTTAACATAGTCTTACCATAATATTGATATATTTTACAGAAGAATCGGCCCACAAAAAACATTTATTTATCATTATTAACTAGACATAATTATGATTAGTTCATAACTATCTGTCAATTTTCTCAAAAAAATTACAAACAATTAAGATTAAGTATAAACCCTCTTTTTGTCTAATTTTTTCAAATAATTTTTCTTGATAATGATGATCTTTAGATTAGCTTAAAGTACTTGCTTTGTGGAAAATTTGACAAAATTTTCATTAATTGTTTAATTTTTGTAAACGCAGGTTAGGGGCCCAAATTTTTCGGGCGCCCCGTATATTTCATACGTCAGACACGGCGGTAAATTTAATTCATAATTAACTTTAGTAAGTCATTACTATTTTAGTGTGTGTAAATATTTTAAAAATAATTCTATTTAAAATAACTTTAAAAACGTTTGGACAATCCGCGACAAAATGCCTGAATCCGGGACAAATATTGTTCTAGAAAAATTCGTAAAGCGAGATGTAATTTGGAATTTTTATCTATAAAATAACATTTTTTTTAGTTCTGTACTATAGAAATAAATATTATTATTTTTTTAGTGTGCAGATAGATGCCGTAAGCAGGGCATCGCAAAACACACTCGATGCGAAGCGCCTTTTATGTCCGGAATGGGTTTGTACGAGTGCAATTCCTACGAAGAAATGAGAAGAATGATCGTTTTATATATTAAGTGAGTATTTTTAATAATCTAAAAAAATCTGTAAATAAACCAGCAAGTTTTAAATGATTCAAATTCATAAATCCATAATATTGGCGTATCAGCATAGCATAATTGGTGGCAGCGGTGGGATCGAATTTAAATATTGGATAAAGACTTTCGTTAATCAAAATTGAAACTAATCAAGTTTAACCACTGAAAAATCTCACTCCATATTAATTATTAGCAGTAGTTGGGAAGACATAGAGTTTTGCAATGGCTTCTAGTAGTAGTAAACCCAATGGTTTTGCTTTTCATTGTGTATTATATATATGCTGTTGTGGTATTCACCCTTTACAATAGTTATAAATAATATTGTAAATTGATGTAACAGTCAATATGAACGACGCAATTAGTATTGCTCATAGTTACATTGTAAGCTTGCAGTAACCTTGCAAGTGTTGATAAAATTCCTTTTGAAACCACAAACTGTGCGTTACGACCAAGTAAAGCGTAGTTTCTGACTCACATATATCGAACATTTTAGAAAAGGAATGCGTCATACCGATAAGGAGTATTTAAGGTTCTGGATGATGCAATAAACAGTCAGTTTGAGTCAGTATGAGTATGGGTCAAGATCAGTATGGGTTAAGATCAATACAGTTTAGTTGTAATCCAGTTATAATAAAATTCAGTCATTTTGAGTAATATAAAGTAATCAATGGAGTTATATTTAAGTTCAGTGTTCAAGTTATATGAAAAGTGTACAAGAATCATGAAATAAACGTCAACATCAAAAGTCTTCATCTGTTTTACTGATTCCATTTCACATTCTGGTACCAGCTTGATACTTAGCAGCAGGAAGAACCTACATTTTGTTGGCTCCGTCGCTGGATGAAGCACAACAATGCATTACGATATTATATAAGAAACAAGCAAATGTACAAAATACATATTTTATTTACATACTTATAATTCGAACACATGAATGAAATATATACGAATAATATGAAAAAAATATGTAATAATAATCATATCACACCTTTAATTAAAATCTTTAAATTTTCGACAACAATTTCAAATTTGTATTTATTGTTTCCATGAAGAAATATGTTCCAATGAATATAAAGTTTTCTGCATGATTGAAAATAGCGAATAAAAATATTTTTAGCATAATTTTCAAATTTATAGTTTATTTAGTTTTACTTTACTCTTGCTATAATAATTCAAATTTTAATATAAAATATATAAGTTATCCATCCAATTATTCATAAGAAAACGCCAAGTTAATTTTAAATAAAAATAATAACTCTTTTTACATTTTAAGCTTTAATTTGACCTTTCTTTAGCGTATAAATAAATATATATGTGTATATACAGGGTGTCTCAGAATTCAACGTCAAGCCGAAACGTGGTGTAATATTGATTGTAACTATCATACAAAAAACTAAAAAAAAAATCTTCTCATGTAATTTGAAATTATGAGTTAACCTGTGACCCAGAACTTTGGTGAAACTCTTACCATATTTTGGTTAATTTGATTGAATTTGATTATTTTTAGGAACAGTAATCGTAAATAACATTTCTAAGGCCACACTCAATTTTAATAACACAATTGCTTCAAATTTTCAAGAAATATGTACTAAATTATGAATTCAAAATTTTTCAAATTACCCACTGTGAAAACAATATCTATCAAAAGTTTGCAAATTTAATCAGAAATGTAAAATGGTAATATTCTTAATAATTTTATTATTGAAAAGAAAATCGAGTAGAAAATAAAAATCTACAATAAACATGAGTATGACGAACTTTTTTGGCCACATACAATTTGACCCACCCTAACGTATAGAATAGAATCATATATGATAGAATAACAAATACATTTTTGATCTAGACTTGTTCCAAAAAATGTTACTATTATAGAGGTATATATATATATATATATATATATATATATAATTTATTCATCATCATTTTTAATTAATTAAGAATGACTAAATCTATATTATCTTGGTAAATGTGTCAATTCAAAATGGTTCATACGCCAGAACTAAAACCCATTTATTGACATAGTTATAAAGTGTTGATTTATACTTACCAATAAATCTATTTCCAGCAACGCCAAAGACAACAGTTTTGTGACCTGCAAATGTGCAGAACCTTGCAAAGAGGTCATGTATGAAGCATCAATTGTAAGAAGAAAACAGTTGGACTACAGAGGAGTCATTTGGAGTCAAATGGATATTTTTTATTCGACAAAAGTAGTTGCCACCATCGAAGAGAAACCAGGGTATGATTTCAGTACCTTTATAGCTGATATGGGAGGATCTTTGGGTTTTCTTCTGGGACTATCGGTTTTGGGTTTCATCACTATTTTAGAAAGAATTTTTGTCCTTGCTACCAGAGAAAGGCAGTCGGGAAAGTTGAAGAATAAGTGTCAGAAGAATGTTGTTATAATGGAGGATAGTGTAATAAAATATTAAATTTTAGAATGTTTATCAGATTTCCAACAATTTGTTCATAATAATTTATAAGCTGCTTTTCTCTTTGTAAGGTTGAGTTCAGCATGTGCATGCATTCCTGTAGGATAGGATTAGTGTAGACTATATAATATATAAAATATGAAAAATGTGTTCAATAACTAATTACATATTTTTCTTTTGCTCTTTATTCATTATTACAATATTATTCTTAACTAAGTTATAATTATTCGAAACTAAGTTATAACAATACTTACCAGTGTTTTATAATATTATGATATTCTTGTCGCCATGAATCTGCATTTAAAATTGAAAATGGAACTTGTTTTCACATTTATTAAAGTGTTGGTGTGGATGGATATTCAAGATGCAAAAATTTTGATAGATTTTGTTTAGTATTAAAAATTATACTCCATCAAGCCAAGAGCTTTGTTCAATAGTAAGAAGTACAAGAGCAAATGCAACCAATTTTTTTTTTCCTAATCTCAACTCTGTGAAGTAAATATTCATGTTATATAGATAATATCTTTAATAGGTGACAATATATAACACCATATAATAATTAACGGAACTGTTATATTTTGATAATGAATACAGATTTGGCGAACGGATATTTATAATAAATGTTCAAAAGTGTCCTGATTAATGAATTGCCAACGACGACACATGTTATCAAAAATAATATTAATGAATCATACATCATATTTATAGATCAGTGAAAACAGACAAGTCACTTGTTGAAATTCAAATGGAGAGCTTTAGATGAATTTGTAACTGAAAAAGTAGCGAGAAAACTATTAACAAGTAACTTTCCGAAGGAGAAATTTCTTATCGCCAGAAAATTCAAATTATCATTGAAGTGTGATATTGTTCGACCACGTTTTCTCATAAAACCTTGAAATGGGTTCCAAAAATTTAAAACCTCTTGGATAGTTATTAGTTGGGTATAGTGCTGATTAGTTACACATATTAAGAAGTTTAGGCAACTTGTCTTAAGGCAAAATGTCACTTACAGCTTGTTAAGATAAAATTTTAGCTATAGGGGGCTCAAAGGTCCGTGGGTAAGAAGGTCCACCAACAATATCTCAAAAACAAGTCAAGTAAATAATTTTTAAGGACCATATTTGAAAGTATATGGAAAAAGATGTATAACCATCCATAATCTTAATTTTACTCGCGTTGCTATCGAAAAATAAATGACAGTGTTTGAAACTACATAACGAAAGTATTTTCTATTGTTGGTAATTTTTTTGATTGTGAGCACTATTGTTTAATTTATGAGACCTTAATATAATTTTTAAATCTACCTTAATTATTTGTTTTATAGGATGTACTGTTAATTATAAGTTAGATTCAACAGTTTCTTTTATATAACCTACATGAAAGCTTACACGTAGGTAGGGAAAAAAGGACCAACTAAACCTTTACCCTGACAAGGGCGTAAATAGAAATTAAAAATATTAAGTTTAAAAAACGCAATTTTACAAGAGTTAAATTAAATAAATAGTTATTTCAACTCTGCTGAGGAATATTTCTGACGAAATACTAGATCAAGGTTATATTCAATTTTATCTTTGTAAAAAATAAACAAAAAAATTATATTTTGCATTGATTGAATAATGTAGCTATTTCGAAAAATCGCTTTGAAATTTAAAAATTAAGACATTGGACCAGTTTTCCCTATGGCCCCACTTATGGGGTATAAAAGACCAGGTGATAAATGTTTGAAAATAGCAAAAATATCACATATTTACAATGATGATTTAGTTGAGAACATGGTCAGATAGTTTGTTCGATATGTGTTATAATTGGTTTTCACAATATAATTGTTCGAAGTCAAATCGAATCTTTGTGTCCCGCCCTTGCATTTATTTCTCTTGATTAGGCCTTTATAAATATTTATCAACAGCCTTTGAATATAAAAACTGATCAAATACTTGTTAGAACTTGACCAAAAAAATAAAAAATAACAATAACAATAGCACGTTTACACTAGAAAAATTTGTAACTATATTCTATATATAAATAGTTTAAATAGAAATAAGTTCACTATTAATTTTATTTCATTCGCATAACCGCAATAATTATATGTCATGGCTTATATATTTTTATTGAGGTTTTCAAGGTTTGATCAAATACTTGTTAAACAATTTTCAACAATCAACTGCTGGAAGCTCAAGAAAAATAGAAAGAGTTAACTATTAATTTTATTCTGCTGATGATTTTTCGATGAAACCGAGCAAGAAGATCCATCCTGTTCTATTATTTACAGCTTACACCGAGATCGGAAATAGAATTTCGAATCGGTTTATTTTGGAAAGAAACAGTTACAACGTCGCAACTCAACGTAACTTTGCTAATGTTTAAAACAACTCATCGTGGGACGATCGATCTCTAAAGTTTTTACAGGTGCGAACGATGATGTATATTTAAAATATGAAGGAAAATTTTATACCAATGAATAAATGACACTTATAAATTAATAGAATGTTGAATAATCAAATTGTTGCCAAGCGTCAAATTTGTAAAATCGGTTTACAAATCACATTATTTGAAGCGGGTGAAGAATTCTTAGTATCCTTCGTGCAGCTTTAGAGCATCACAAAATTTTAGGAGCTCCTGATTTTGACAAATGATTTTTTTTAAATACACTAGTAATTTAGAACTTCAAGCATAATAGTAATTACCTGCTCAGGTTATTATAACTTTATCCAAATACAACGTTTTCCATAACTCAAAGCATAATCACTGTGAAAATCTTGGACTCTACGTAAAAGTTCGGTACAAAGTTGTTAATCAAAATACAGAATTACGTCAATTACCTTTTCAAAGTTTTATTATTACTCTTATACAAAGCCGTTTTCTCGATTTGAACATAAGATTTTAATGAAGTTAGTAGTTCCATGAATAGAAATAATTGTTTTCCTTTGCGCAAGCCTTTAATGCCTTCCGTTGATTGCTAAGCACGCCTGTTTACATTTGCAATAATATATATGTGTGTTCTTGAACTTTTTAGAATAATTGATTTCTGGATTTAATAATAGTCGATTTAAAATAATATTTAACAACATGGGTTTTGAGATATAGATACTGATCAATAATAAAGCGTGTATATTAGGGTGGTCCTTAATATGGGCATTTTCAAATTTCCTTGCTCTCAAGGGCTCGAATGGTTCCAAATTGATAAAAAACAATTCTCTGAAAGTTTTAGCTCTTAATATTGTTTTTTATATAGAGCGCAATTCAATCAAACTTCGTATGGAAATAGCATGGAAAAAAATTGAAAATAAAAAAAAAATATTAAGTATAACTTAGCGACAAATAAATTAAAAGTGAAAATTCGTGTCATTTTTTATTGAAAATTTGAGCAATTTTTTTGAAAATTTTTTCATGCTATTTTCATACAAAACTTTGATAGAATTGCGCTCTATCTAAAAGACAATATTAAGAGCTAATTCTTTCAGAGAATTGTTTTTTATCAATTTGGAACCATTTGAGCCCTTGAGAGCAAGGAAATTCGAAAATGTCCATATTAAGAACCACCCTAGTGTATATATTGAGACTTTTTCGAAGCAAAATAGTTCAAAGGTCCATCCTGATATTTTATTATCATTTACATTATTATTATTTTTCTTCCTTCATAACAAATTAATAAAGTGTATACGAAATTTATACTATAAGAACGTGGCATACTTAATATCTCAATTAAAGGTCTTCTGCAATGAGAAGACCTAAGCAATATTATTTTGACCATTTTTATACAAGTTCAAATTTGTGTAAAAACTGTATACCATAAAATTTAAATGCCAGATCTAGTTTGATTTAATTTTTATCATTCTGTTATAAATACTTAATTGTGGATATTTCTTGAATGCCATTCTTATGTACGAGAAATAATTTCATAAATAATTTTTAAACTAGTGGTGTGTGGCATTGTGCCTTAATAATTTTACCTAAAATAAAAATTAAAATTTGAATTATTTTTAATATAAAAAAATTGTAAATAAAACATAAATTAAAATTCTGAAATCGAAAAAAAAAATTTTGCCTTCCCCAAAAGCTAATTGTTTTTTCATACTCTCAAAATTTACCAATTTTTGCACATTTAGTTCTGTTTCTCCGGAACGACTTGACCTGTCTTTGCCAAAAACTAATCACCACTTTTCCTATAAATACAAATTGAATGTTTATTGAATTATTTAAATTGGATGGTCTGTTCTCTTCAAAAATCGTTATGTATTTTTGCACTCTTTGTTCCATATCTCCGAAACGGCTGGACCTGTATTTGCCAAAAACTAATCATTACTTCTCTCCATTAGTAGGAATCGAATGTTTCGAATTTTTCTAATCGATTGATCTGAACTTTCAAAATCGTGTACAAAAACATAAAAACAATATATAAAAATCATTTTTCAAATTTTTTATAAGTCATTTTTTAATTTATTATTAACACGTGGTGATTGTATTGGTCATAACTACCATGAATTTTTTTTTAAAAAATATATATTTCATGTAGTTTGTATTTTATGAGCTTTCAAGTGAAAGCCAGAGCTTTGATTGAATTGTGACTATTTTTCAGTTATTGAGGCAAATTTTTATGATTTTTGTTTATTTCAATTTTGTAACCGTAACCGTAAATAACATTTTTAGGACCACAATCAAATATAATGACACAACCTCCCCAAGTTTTTTAGAATCAAAACTAATTGTTATACTATAAATTTAAAATTTTCAAAATCGAACAACATTGAAAAGCTCTCCTTAACAAAATTGACTTAAGTGATAAAGTTCCATCAAAAGTTTTAAAAAATTGTAAAATGGTAACATGATAAAACACTTGTTGGTTTCATAAAAAAGAGTAAATAGTGATTAATATTTTTTTCTCTCTATTAATATGTGTTGATAATGAGATAATATAATAAGTACACTAAATTTTATTAATTGGTCCAATCAAACTCGAAGAATTGTGGGCAACGTTTTGAAAAAAAAAACAGTTTTGAGAA